TTACTGTCGTTACAAGGGCATGTATCTAAGCTGTGTATAGGTCTCCTTGCCGTTTGAGATTTGGGCTCTTGTCTTCAATCTATTGTCTGTTATGGCGCCTGCTGGATCGACTCATGGTACCCAACAAGCACAGGAGACTCACAAGTGTGAGCTTGGCTGGATTACTGTCACGATGGTGTGCTCTCGATGGAGGATTATTGCTCTCAGTTTAAAACATCTTTGGGCGGCCAATGTTCTGGCATTTCCTCACAAAGATGCCATCACAACGATCTCCAGGCGCACTGGAAATGCCCCAATTGAGCTCGATATCGATCGTTTAATAATGTCGTCCAAGTTTCGTGACATCTCTGCGGTCCTGAGATTTGTGATGGGAAGAATATGCAAACGTGGAAGGTGCCAAACTCTTTTGTCCCGAGCAAGCGCCATCCATTGCACCTTTTGTTGTGATGATGGAATCGCAATGGCAAGAGACTACACAGCAACTCATATCGTGGATACCTATGGATGGAGAGCCAGTCTCATGGGATCAAGGACTTTTAAATTCCTCACACACCTGACCATTCCCCTCACCGACAACGCAGTTTTTAACTTGAGACTTTCTGCGCCATTACTGCGATCGCTCGTCTTAATGGCGATCACAAGCGAGACACATGACAAGCGATATCAGCTAAAACCTGGAGCAGGTTACACCGCGATGCGGAACAGACATTCCACTGTCAGTATCCATATCCAGGACCTGATCGAGTTTTTGGCCCCATTAGTCGCAAGTCTTAAACTATTCAGACTAGAGGGAGCGTCTGTATACGACTTTCATGAGGATATAGAGATTAACACTCTGACACCGCTAATATCCTTCGCCGATCTTGATATCTTGACTCTTAAACCGGAGTCTATCCGGCTCTTGAGGAAGTACATCATTACCTCAGGCTCCTGGTTCATCTCAACCTTCGTTCCGGATCTTCTTTCATTTCCCCCATCTCTAGGAGTCCCTGCTGCTTTTGCCAGTCATAACATCTTGACGATAACCCACACTGAATCGATCACATTTCTGTCATTTTCACATGACGATTCCTTTGATCCTTTGGGTGATACAAGCAGCTGGTGTCCACTGGATGATCGTTTTTCTCGTGAATACTCTGTCGCTTGGCGTCCCAGCAGATCAGTCCATATGCGCCAGCGTACAGTACCCAACCTGCATATGACACATAGGACCATTACTGTTGCTTGTGTGGGAGACATGAATCCTCTTCTCTACCGCTATGCACAGTCTGTCCAGCACTTGGTTGTCAGATCATTGGAGTCTCAAAAGCTGCTCTACTATCCTATACCGCGCTTGGTCAGTAGCTTCTCTCAGCAATGGAAGTTTCTCGAGACTTTACGGGAGGTCGAGAGTGTAACTTTTGTTGATGATGTTCGCATGGAAGTTCTTTCTCAACACATGCTCGCGTGCCCTAGACTGGTTGTTCTTGCGTTCAAAGCAGATGCCAGCCGCGCCGCACAGATCCAAGCTCTGTTAGCCAAACGAATGCAACAGTGGGCATCGAACGGATACATCTCCCCATCCATCGTAAATAGGTGTGCTTCGTAAGCACGACACACAGTTGTATTCTCAAAAGAGGCATTACAGAGCTATTCATGCGGCATGCTGTCATAGGATACAAAGGCACAACAAGTAACGGAGTTAATGACATAGCAGCCACAGTACTGTTAATGATTATGGTGTCTCAGGCATTCTCTATGGTCCTCCATCTATTCCTATGGCGGTATATCGAACAATGTCCGAGCAAGTCTTGACTTGTTCTCTGATGTCTAGAATACCCTCTCAAAAATGGGAAGTACTTCTGGGGATCTCCAAGCAATGCAACCTGTTTGGTCTGTAAACAGTGATTTGATATCCCCTGAATTTCTCTACCTCTACCTATGGCTTTCCTAGCCAATTAGTCTGACTGCTATGCCACTCAGATACTTCAGTTCAGGGATACTGGTCACTGGAAACATTGAACTATCTGAGACTAAGTACATGCCTGCTATCAGGTACTACGTAACAATTCTCACTATGTCTCTCAACGGATATGGGCGATGATCAGGACCGTAGTAGCGTGCTTGATACCACAGGTCCTTTAAGTCACTCTCTATATTCCTCATCCTAGGCCTCTGGTTCTTTCGAAACCCAAATCTGGCCCATGATGCCATTCCCACAAGGATGCAACCGCCACTTTCCCTATCCAAATTCCATCTCATTGCTTCAAGGGACACCTCCATTGGACATGGACTATTGCCAATGTACAACTCCTTCAACTGTGTGATACGAGGGGTGTCTTGGATGTTCACTTGCTCTGAAAGATTCAAGTACAGACCAAGGCTCAGGAGATCCCCGTGTCCTGATAGAATGCGCCCCACTGTTTGTAAATTGAACAATGGATGAGGAGGGGATTGTGATCCTGGCCAATCTGGCGTTGGTCCTAGCCAGAGGGTGTGAACATGAGTCAATGGCTCAAGGATATACAAGAGCTCATCCTCAGAGAGGTGTATCAAGTTCGAAGTATTGAGCGCCAGTGATCTCAGCCACCCAGCGCCCCGTAGGCGCATCAAAGAGTGAGCTGTCAGTGGCTGCTCACTCCCGTTCAATGCAAAAGTAGGATGGTCCAGTGCTAGAAAGAGGTCCTCTGCTCTTTGGCAACGCGCAATATAGACCTCTAGGAAATTGGCAAGTTCAATGTCTTCAACTGCATTCCCAGATACAGTTGTATAGTCTGGTGAAGGCCCTGTGGCCCGGATGTATATGCGGGTAATCTGCCCTGCAGGGAAAGTGTCCACTGATAGAAGATTGGTAACATCCTGAAGCTTCATGCATAATGTCACTGAGGTCAAGGAGCTAAATGATCCTGGCTCCAGAGTGACAGCAGAATGCATGTCTAGTGCATGACTGACATCTCCAGGTTTACTCTGGCCCCACTCGTCGTCAACTTGGATAGGGCAATCCAGGAACTTCAACCCTTGTGCACCCTTCAGAACGTCATATATGCCTCTCGTCAACAGACAATGTGATAATTGAACTCGGACCAGTTGGTTCAAGTTGAGAGCGTTGAAAAACGAGATTAAGTGTGTTTCAACACCTGTCATGCTTCCCTGAGATGGGGGATCTCTGGTGGTGATTGTGAATGATGTCATATTACGAGCCAAGGATCCAATGTCTCGTCCAACCAGCTTGAGAGGATAATGCATATGGTCCCGCGCACACTCATCGGGTAAGCCATAAATTGATACACGAGATATGTTCGAATGAATGAACACCAGATGCAGAGCGTAGCTTTGAAAAGCTAGCGGGGTGTTTGGTAGAGTCCAAGCAAATGACACAAGACTGCGGCACATCGGCTTTGGAATGAAGACACAGGTAACGAGATCTCTAGCGATGGCGGCAGAGACATCCCCAGACAGAGATATGTGGCGAACGCATCCAGCAATAGCTGCGAAGCCATTCCAGTCTTCAAATCCAGGCTGCTGGTCGAAAGCCTGTAACAGTGGTCAACTCGGTATCAGTTATGGTCGGCAAAAATCCTTGGATTACCTTTCCATCTACAGTAAGCATTTTTAGTGCCCCAAAGAACCTTGGCACCTTCTCCCCAGACACCACCCGCCAATATATTTCAAGAGCTAGGCTTCTCCAGTAGCGACAGATCCAAGTCCCTTTTTGTTGAGATGCAGATTCACTGAAAGACATGATTAAGTGTAAAATCTCGGATATCTCTAAGGCTGCTTTTGTCTGAGGGAGGTTGGGATCCGAACTGGGCAAGATGTCAGGAGGCGTGCAGGTCTCTGCCTCAGGTAGTCGAAAGACAGAAGTCATTGTGGAGACCAGTATGGTAATAGTGCGAGAGCGGCCGAGCAAGTGGATGAAGTTCACAGAGTGTACCCAGGCAGTCTCTGATGGGTGCGGGGAACAAGATGAAGTCGAGGCATTCGGTGTACAGATCGATCATTCTCCCAATAGATCTATTGCATACACAGGATCACGTAATCGGGGATTCGGCGGTCGGTTGCATAATGCGCGTTACTCAATCAATTGGGTTAGTACAGCCCTCATCTGTCTTTGACCTGTCTCTTACTTGTCTCGGTCATTGATAGATATCTATGGATTGTGAGGTCACGCATGGAGTGGGCTGCTTGTCGTGTGAGTTTTACCCGATGTAGAATATCTTAGACGTCAGGTTTTTCTGGCTACCCAGCTCTGATGGTCTTGGAATGAACAGCGAGAGCACCTGGCTGGATAATGCCGCCTGCGATCACGACTTTCGTTACCTTCTAGAGGCTACGTACTCTAATGTCGTCTGTAAATCTCACAGCAAGCAACCAAGTATGAGTGTGTGATGTATGACTGGGTATAAGAATACAGAAACTTGAGATGGGCAGGACTGGAATGTGTACTGCGGCTACCTGACCATGCAAACTATTCATTGGTGCTTGTTAAGTCTACTCGCCTGTGTACTTTCAGACATGCCCATTCTGTGATAACATGTATCTCTGACCATGCATTACTCGCACTAACCAAGAGCTCAAAGAGTCCTAGGTACTGATAAGAACCAGTTCAAAGGTCAGTGCATTGCCGTGTTGCTCACTAAACTGGCATAGATCATGACACAGTGCTATGAAGACAGCTGTATACTGATTCACCATCAATCTTCCCTTTGCATGAAGATCTTATCTCATCTTCTCCCAATGCCACATTCCCTTACTCCATTGAAGTGGGTACACTGATCGGAAAGTTAGCCAGTGAGCTATTCAGAGTGCATGACTTTGCATGGCATATTGGCTCAAGTATAAAGCAGTACTTATTCAGGCTCGTTACCTCCATCACTTGATGCCGTATTTTCATATTTATCCCATTGCTCAATTACATCACTCTTTGCTGCATGACTGGGATAGTATTCTGCTACCAATGCTGAACCAAGATATAATACATCGTACAGATAGACGCGGATTACAAAGGCGAGAATACGGGCTCACTCGAAGTAGTGATACTTGTCAGATGAGCGAAACACAAGACCGTCCTCAAACCCCAAGCCGGCGAACTCGTTCTCGGTGAGCACAGCTACTGAGTTTCAGAAGAGAGAGCCGAGAGGTAAACAAAGCAGAACTCACCCTTGATAGACCCGATGGGCGCCTTGTCATCTTGGTCCGTGAGGAAGAGCGAGCGGCGAGGGACGCTGAAGTCCGAAAGTTCTTTCTTCAGCCTAGCATCAATTGTCAGCAAAGAATACCGCTTCCAAAAGCACAGTGCAACGCACTGGTCCGAGTTAAGTATAATGGAGCGTCCGTACTCGACCAACGCGTGCGCATACGCCCCAGAGACCAGCCAGCGGATATCGATGTCGCCTCCTTCTTCATTGGACTTTTTGACTACGGCGAACCAAAATTCCTCGTCCGCGATGTTCTGGTCCTTGGGGGGCCGGACAGCAATACTGTAATAAAATATCAGTACAAGAACTCGACACACGGCATAGATACGCACACGGAGCCCTCTTCACAAACGACGGGGTCCTTCAGAACCTTGCCGGCCATATTGGCCCGGAACACCAGGACCTCGCCATGAGCGTTGCTGATGAGGACAATCAGCTCAGGTTGCTCATACTATGCATATTGAGTAGCGCCAGTGAGCGCGCGCGTTGTGTGAGTACGCGCGCGCGCAGTGCGCGTTCAATATGCAAGAACGCGGTCAAGTTGTCACGCACGTAACGAAAGACGACAGCGCGGTGTCATCGCCAAAAAGGGCTCTGTACTTTGCGTACTTCGCGTCGGTAGCAAAGTTTACGAGTGGGGAAGTGTCCTTAGCCATGTTGAGGATCGGTAGTGGTGGTTGCGGAGTGAGGCCGGGTAAGTGGAACGCGTGTATGGGCGCTCCCGGGTGTGCGGCCCGGTTGATGCTCTCGCGCCTCATTTTGATATGCTGATCAACGCGATACAGCGCGAGCGTGACAGGCTGCCTCTACCTTCCTCGCATCTAGAATGTCTAGTTCGAATACTACTATCCTAGCAACATAGAGATATCCGCATCCGTGTGAGCAAGCACCCCGCATCCCCTGGCCACTTTTATGGGTCTCACGCGTCATATCACTCGTTCTGTAGCGTATACTGGCTCTCCTTCGACACCAGCTAGACACGCGAGTGCTGTGGCACCTGCGATGGTGGGAAAACGGCACCTCGGACCGACGGTCGTCTATCTGCGCGGGCAAGTCAATCCCCAGGACCAATCCGAGACAGGGGCGTCCGGATCCGGTAATGCTGATTGCCGGTGGCAAGTTCTCCGGCCAAACCACGGCAACAATGCTTCCGCTAAGGTTGAGCTTGCTATCGAGCGTTCTGCTATAAACCTCTCACATAAGATGCTGGCGTCTTAGATGCACTACGCTGGCCGGTCACTTCGAAGTCACATGACCGTGTTCGAATGCCAACGCGCGTCGAACCGCACAAACTCGTCTTGCTCTCTAACCACCACCATCCTCTCTCAACCTGGTATACTCAGTTGAGCCAGATTTTCGAACCTAGATGTCTTGAATAACCCTGGCACCACCATCTGCTGTTCATGACTGATACTTGGCGCTCATAGTCGCATATGGCTATTCCACAGGGCCTGAATACGTGGCAATCATCGACCTATAACGCTCATGCTGGACTGAATACTAAGGCTCTTGATCTGATACCTGCGGTCCTTGACTCACATGATGTCAGTGTCTCTGAGGCGTGGCAGGAGTGAAGTGGATTTTCAGTATGTTGTCTGGTGCTTGGCGCCACCACGCTTGCACATTCATCATGCATAGATCATCCATATGATCTCCTTGTATGCCAAAGATACATCACTGGCCTGTGTGACGTTTTGAACAAACACTTTGGTACTGAGTCTACGATCTATAATCCAGGGACTCTCAGTAGCTCAGAAAATTCTTGGGTTTGCTGACATACCTGGTACTGCTCAATGGGATCTATTGGATCTATTGCTTGCCTTGATACTTCCTCTTGGCGAAGGCCTCGCCAAGTCTATCTTTGAAGATTACATGCATTGGGATAGCAGGTCCTAGGTGTGCTGGGTGTAATAAGGGTCTCATAGTATGGTGTCTGGTGCTTGGCGCCACCCCGCTTGCACATTCACATACAGTACAGCATCATTATTGCGCCCTAGCCCAAGGACTGGTTGCTTTTCTGGTGCTGTTCTTCTTAGAGTACTCATGGGAGCCTGGTTAAGAACATGCTATTCAAATGAAATGAGTCTAAGCTAGTGTCACATGCAGTGCTGGGCTGGTTGTGGCCCTTCAACTTTTGATTTATTGCATAGCTGGGTAATCTGGTTTACAACAGGTGTCTATTGCAATACTGTTGGGCACCACTAAACCAAAACTGGTTATCTATAGGCATGCTGTTCTAAGGTTACTGAAAAGTCCGATGTGTCTCAATGCTTCACTAATTCTTCTCATATTGCTGGTTTCTTCTGAGCTGTTGGCCAGCTCAGGTTGGAGGCACTGGAGCCTCTGAGATTTTGTCTGGACTAGATCTCATTCACTCAAGGCTGGGGTCTGGTCCAAGCCTACTAGGCATACAAATGCTCTCCTTGTCTGTGCCATGTGCAGTCAGTTCCCCTCACCCTCTCTGGAGGAACTATATACAAGGGAGTGTGCTGGTTGAATTTGTAGTACTGCTGAGTGCCCAAGTGAAGGGAGAAGGATTCTCTGCCCGACTTGGTCCCAGGCTGGAGATGTGTGTATTCCTTGATGTAGATTCTCCACATCCGACCCTGGGTTGCTTGTCTGCACTTCTCAAAGTACTTGATGCTTATAAGCAGCTTGGCACTTATCCTAGAGCACATCCAAACCACTCTGAATGACTGAGAACTTGTGATGCATGCTTCCCTGCAAAGTCATTCATGTACTGTGTTGATTTGAATGAAAGTTTATAAGTAGTGAATAGCTGGCCCACTATAGCCTATCCATAATGTCTGCCTGACTTGCTGAATACAAAATAGTTACTTGTGGTTTGTCACCTGGATGCCAGAGGTGCGAATTAGATACTAAACCAACTTCAATATAATTCCAAATGATGCCACTCTTACCATGTCCCTATAAACAAACTGACTGACCTCAAGATGCGCATTCCAGAGCCATCAACAGCCAGCATTTTGTTTGTCCTGGTAAAGCTGGTGACATCTGGGGTTCAGCTGGGCCAGACTATAAGTGCATATCCAGGTTCATATGCATACCAACATTACACCTACATCTTACGTTGTATGTACCTCCTCACAGTACATGAGGGTCATCAGAAGGTCGGTTGTATACTCAACATCTATAACCTTCAACAGCATCGACATATACTGGATGGTGTTCAGCATTGCACACCATTGCCTGCTAAGAGAGAAGCAGATGGACATCAGACTGGGGCTGTGAACGAGAATATGTAGCGTATCATGGAGGTTGGCGGTATGTTCACCATACACAACCTTCAACAACATGATAATATCGACATATACTGAGTGGTGTTCAGCATTGCAGCTTCTACTTCGTTTTATCAGCTCGACCCTGAGTCGTTTGGACGAGACTATGCAGCTCGTCTAGCTGAATTGACCATGAACTCGCGTCCGATAATACAGGATCTGTCCGTTTATGCTCAGGAGTATGCGCGCTGGAGTGATAGTGTCGTGTCATGCATTGACAAGCACATTCGTATGGTGAGTACTATTCGTCCAGTCCGCTCCCTCATGAAACCTCTTTCGCCGGGGCTGCCACTGGGTGGTGTTCAGCGTTGCACACCCCTGCTGCTAAGGGAGGAGCAGCCGGACGTCAGACTGGTGCTGTGAACGAGAATGTGCAGTGTATCATGGAGGCCCTCCTGCAGCTTCTACTTCATTTTATCAGCTCGACCCTGGGTCGTTTAGACGAGACTATGCAGCTCGTCTAGCTGAATTGACCATGAACTCGCATCCGATAATACAGGATCTGTCCGTTTATGCTCAGGAGTATGCGCGCTGGAGCGATAGTGTCGTGTCATGCATTGACAATCACATTCGTATGGTGAGTACTATTCGTCCAGGCTGCTCCCTCATGAAGCCTTCTTCGGGGCTGCCACTGGGTGGTGCTCAGCATTGCACACCAATGCGTGCTATGGGAGGAGCAGATGGACATCAGACTGGTGCTGTGAACGAGAATATGTAGTATATCATGGAGGCCGGCGACATGATCACCGTCTACAACCTGAAACAACAACATAATATCGACATACACTGAGCACTGAGCACCAGTGCGTGCTTAGGGAGGAGCAGATGGACATCCGTCTGGTGCTTTGAATATTCGCCCTGCCAGGCAGCAAGTGTACTGTACTTGTCTTTTTGTATCGTAGACAAGGACTGTATGACGGAATTACACGAATGAGATCACCGTGTTACACCTTTGAAATCATATAGCTGGCATAGTCAGTGTACTGGATTTATCCCTCAATCAATATCCTGCAAAGTAGGCAGAACCTTCGTTAGTCACCCACTGGCGTGTCGCATGGCTTTGGTCCTCTCTAACATCGCATTGACTTCTCTTCCTTCATAGTTCTGTTGGTCACAAGCACCCCAAGTGCGCACACGGCTGAAGCTTCTGATCCTTATCTGCTATCGAGATCTGTCACTATCCACCTCACGTGCAGGCTTACTCCCAAAACAGGATAATCGAAGTAAAGGCAGATGATGGATGGATGTGCCGAAGAGCGGAGGTTTCTCCGGTAGATAAGCCCATAGTGGCATATATGGCAGTGACTCGACTGTCAATATGTCAGCTGTTTTGCCTTTCACCGTCAGCAGTGAGTTCAATCTGCACACTGTAAGTTGCCTACAACTTCATCGTTTGTAGGTCCTTGAGTTCTCCTAGTAGCGAAATACATCATGCGTATGCAGCTTGCCCTCACGATTGGGAGTTTAACACCCGATATCATGCTCATGATCTTCTTGGAAACGATTTACCCTGTCGATCAGCCGTGGAATATAAGCCACGTGTGCCAAAGCTGGCGCAAGGTTTGCATATCCAGCAACCTGCTGTGGTCGTCACTCTCGTCCGCCTATCACTCGGAACTGAATGCAATTGCGCTACATCGCGCTGGCAAAGTTCCGCTTGACATCATCATTCTCTCCCAACCCTACGATCGTGCGTCCAGGCGCCAGCGCATCACACATTTACTTGACACTTTTGTCAAAAACTTGGAACGGGTTCACGCTCTTGACTGTCAAACGCTTCTGGATGATGATGCCAACATCGCTCTTGAGATACTTGTTTTTGAATCAGAACGCGTTCTAGCTCCGGAACTACGTCACCTACGAATTGACTCGGGCGATCCCGCACTCATATTAGCACGAGTGAATGGTTTGCATACACCGAATCTCGAGACGGTTAGCCTCACTCACCAGGATCTGAAACTGGAGCGACACACTTTCAATCTCTGGCATGGAACATCGTTGCTGTCGCTTGAATTGACCGAAGCATCGCTGATTCTTCATATGCTACAAGAACATCTCGAGAGCCTTTCATCCTTGAAAGAGCTCAAACTCATTGAATGCTCTATTCTAATCGAAGACACACACGAATGTCTGGGTGGAAGTCATAGAACCAAGATTCAAAATTTGGCAGATATTCAACTGCATCTCACACCTAATGATCTACTGAGCTTCTTCGATACGTTCGATGTACCTGCTTTATGCAGCATAAGTGTGCTTCTCTGGGTTAACATCGATCATCGGGAGTACATGGAGCGCGTTCTGAAGTTTGAAAAGGACGAAATCCAGAGTCTTCACTCCATTATTGCGAGCAGATTCTTCACAGTTCTTCGGAAAGCATCGAACTTGCGACTCGACGTTGGCTCAGGCGTATCCTTTTACCAAAGATGGAGTCTGAAGGATCAAGATGGACCTTGCGTTGCTAGACTAGTACTTGACCCGTACCTCAGTCGCGCGGAAGCACTTCACTTTGCATGGAGTGTTGCGGCATCTATCCTCACTCAACTCATGATAGAGACACCCATTCAAATCCTTAGACTGGCGGTACCTGTTGTTGTACGCTCCTCGTCTGGTTCCAGACAGTGGTCGACAGTTAGACACATCTCATCGTCAGTATCTGCTGCAGACTTCATGAAAACAGAGAGTCTACTGCTGTCTACCATCTTCAAAACATTGACACAAACTCTTGGGACTCTGGGCCCACTTTCATCCTTGATGTCAGTGCGACTGAGCTGCCTATCCCAAGCCCTTCTTCCATGTGCAGTGCAATCAATAAAGCATTTCGTGGAATGCCTTGATACACGAGATAAACATACTCGCATAATTTTCCACATTGTCTTTGACAGGCTCAGCGACTGCAAGGGAAAGCACAACAACTCTTGCGAGTTTGAGATTGAACCTGAGGATGCAGAAGCTCAATTTGATACTTATGAGTCCAGATACCGCGAGGATCCGCTTCCTATAGCTATGACTGGTGAAGGAGAACCTCCCGATTGCAAGGACTCAGAACTTCTTCCTTTGGAGTCGTTGAGCACAGATGCTGTACAAGTTATCGTAGTATAAGGCAGTTTGTATGCATGCTCATCTTCAATACGCAGGAATAACAATAACATGTCAAGTGTAGAAAAAAATGACTGAACGACTCACCATGATTGCTCAACCGATTCACCCTCAAGAATGACTGCTGAAACAATGGCATCACTTCATTTCCGAAAACTACATTTAGGACATGACTTCATAGTCAGCATGGATGTATGGATCAGTATGACCTGGTAGCAAAGTTGTACAGTTAACAGTACCGAAGGAGCCCCAGCACCACTGCATTTGTGGTATATAAGGCGCAGCTATTCTAACCGGGTCTTTATCATCACGGGACCTGAAATCGAGACACAGACAATCCTGATCCTCAGATACTCTGGATACAAGTGTACAGTACCCATTACCGGACAAGCAAGTCTCTCCATGGCTGAAGGTATCAACCAGTGTCCACCCACGCCTCTGATATCTCTCCTTAATGCGATCTTTGCTCCTATTATCTGGGTTCGGTAAACCGCGTCTATGACCAAGCGTCTCCCGAGGATAGCAGATAATAAGCCTGCTGCCAGTAACATAGTTGACCAGATGGGTGTACGGAAAGCGAACAACGGGGTATAGTGCACTGTCGAATAGTGACTCGACAACATCTATACGGAGATGTTGTCTCGAGAGTCGTGTAAGTTTTGTGACACCAGACACGAGAGGATTGCACACTAGATATGATGGCACATCCTCAGTCCCTGGAGGGGCGCCAGCTAGATCGCCATTGTTGTCATAAGCGCCAGCTCGAACAGACAGTGCAATAGTGTAGCCTAAAGCACTACGAAGGTAGTCAACGACCACCGCTGTCATGCCAGATGGCACAAATATGTCCAGATCGCGGTCATCCATCCACTGCCCTGCCCCTTCTCCGCCTTGCACGCATATAGCCAAGGCTGTCGATCCGCTCACAACAGAATGAGTTGCATCCAGGAGCTCCAAAAATGCTGTCATATACTGATCCTGAGTCCGATCGGTAATGAGTTCAGGAATAACGTGTCGCTTGAGCTCCAAATGAACCCTTAGTCGCAGTGCATTGCGACCAAGAGTTTCCCAATGTCTACAAATCTGTGTGACGCGCTGAAGGCCGACAAGGTCACAGTGTTTCAGGACCACGCCCATTATGTCTTGATTGGACAGAGCAAGATGGGTGCTATGCATCTGGCTAATAGAATCATCAGCAAGAACTCCCCGCTTTCATAAAATGACGCTGATATTGTACCCGAAGTGACGAAGAGCAATGGATAGCAGCTCTCTATACTGAATATTCGTGAAATTCATCTCAGGTCTTGAGCAAAGTTAGATTTGGCCAGCTCATCTGTGAAGACACGTACAGATGCAGAGCAAATAACAGCAGAAGATATACGCAGGAACCTCGCACTTAGAATGCAAAGTAAGAGACTAGATCATAGCATTAGCGATATTTGTGGCAGGCACAATCATTCATCAATGACAGCACCTGAATAAGAATATGGTCTGCATGTTATTGTGAGAAACGAACGAGCTCAGCTGATGTTGTAGTGAGCATACCTGGTATAGCAACGTGGAAGGCAAGACTGAGAGTGAGTAGCCGCAGATGACGGGCGAGTTACATACAAGCTTGTGTCTCCTGTGACTGTACAGTCAGCAAAAGGCACAAGTGACAGAAGTATGACGACAGTGAGAAGGTAGCGCCGAACATCGAGGAAGCTGGTAAAAATTGTCCATTGTGTCCCCTGATGACGCAACCTAACCACATGACACATGAAAATGGCTGCTATAGGAAATACATTCCGATGTTTCGGCACTGAACACAGTGATCAGATATAGCTCGGCAAAGCTGTCTGAGTCACTCCAGATGCTGGTATGTACATCTACGTCTCTTGGCCGGCAAATCACGCTCTCAGCCCTGCACTGATTGATGAGCTACCTATATTATATGTTTATTAAATTATGCCTAAACTCCTTCCCCAAAATACAGCGGTGTTATAGATCTCTCAGAGCTTCTCATAGGCATACATGATTCAGCTGCCTGCTATGTAATAGAACTAAAGTGACAAGTCAAGTTTTAGTATGACAATCCTGGCCAGTTTCCAAAATCTGTTCATTGCAATTTCGAATTCAAGTCGAATTAACTATATCTCTGACTGGTGTTAGTATATGCACACTTTACTCATCATTCCTGGGCTCAAGTGGCTCAATATTAATGCATTGCCCCAGAGCCTCCTTGGGGCACCATAGTCCGACGTTATCCACTAGCATTATTTGTACAAGACTCGAAGATCTACCACATCTGTGTCAAAATTCGTCCCAAACGGTAGGCAGGGACATGTAAAAATAATTGTCTTTGAGAGACAGTTTTGGCAAACGATATGCAATTCTGGATCACGCTGCGCGTCTACAAGGATGTGCATTTGGGATAGAAATATACAACAGATCACAATAGCATACAGATTATTCATCGATCTTCCCGAACCATTCATCCCAACAGTTAACCGCCATCCCAGAATCCTTAATCACCTCAAGTTTCTCCAATTCAAGGCGTTCATCTTCCGGACTCCGAAGCTTACGCATCTTCTCGGCGATCTCAGAGAGCGCGAGGGACTTAGTCGGTGGTTCCAAAAGAGGTGTGCGGCAGCACGGGCACTTGTACTCCGGTTGCAATCGTTTCAAGTAATTCACCTGAGTGAAAACCTTTAAAACAATAGGATGCGGGTGAGCATCAAACATGTCCTGCGGGATCATGGGCAACCGATAGCCAGGGCGGAAATCCAGCCTGTTCTTGAGCTGCTCCTTCAATGACCAAGTGAAATACCGTCGTGCACAAAGCACACAAATGTCATGACCACACGACATGCTGGAATTGTTGATCAGTGGGCAGCAGACGCGACTAAACATGAAGCAATACTCACTGCGCCACATGCAACATAAGAAGATCACATATGGGGCACACGACGAGAAAAGAGAGCATATCCATAAGAGGGGTATCCTGTTTGAACATCAGGCGTCTAAAAAAGACCAGAAGTAAGACAGAAAATACCTGATACGCCTTGAGCTGCTTCTGACAGCTACTGAGTTCCTGCTCGGCCTTATCAGCCCGAATGGCTTCCATCTCTGCATGCTCCTAGTGAAATGTTAGTACACTATGGTTGATGATGAAAGATATTGTCGCGCACCTTGGCTTCCCTGGCCTCAGCCTTTAAAACCTCGATATAATCCATCACATCCGATCCATAAGCCCCCACCACACCGTTTCCAGGGCCGATAGATTCAGGCGCAAGTGTGCGTGCCCTTTTGCTAGACTCATGCCCGTCCACCGCTTTCCTCTTCCCAAAGACGGACCCTCCAGCTCTCGGTGTACCAGCTTCTTCGTCATTGCTGTCCGAAAGCTCGATCACTGGGGGCGAAGGGTCGGTTGTACGCCCCCCCAGTGGTTGTGGTTGCGAGCCATTGGACGGAATGCGGGACCCAGGGACAGATGCTGAAGACATGATACAGTGGGGCCCAGAGCAAAGGCAGTGCAGAAGAAGAAGAGTAAGCTTAGATCGCGCCTGAAGGCACGAATGGTGGTGGTAGAAGGAAGACGCAGCCACTTCGCCATCTTGTGGCGAAGTCGTCGCGTCCAAACGCGATCACGTGAGTAACACGTCCGACGGCTGATCAACCACGCCCTGTCAGCTGCCGTCCGTACGCCAGCTGCATCCCAATAATAACACGTTCATGCATCAAAATGCTCCTGACTCATGCAAAAAAGAGATATGTGGTGTCTGGGCCGAAGAGACATGTCAGTTCAAAATAGGCGATAGGCCAATGGCTTAGTATTATGCTAGGTAGGTTTGTCCTAGGCTTGTATTCCGCCCATGTCGGAAACAGTTGACCTCTAGCCTCTGACAGCTTCACAGTATCTCCAGTGAGTCCGACAGTCATGTCGAAGTTCTAATTCGTACCTCGTGATCCCAAGAATTCAGAGAAATTGGTCACAAGCACTGCATAATCTCTTTCAAAGGCCAGTCTCAATCATCAAAAAAAACATACCATCATAGCCGGCACGTAGAAAACTAAGCCAGGCGTGAATGTTAATGGTGATAATCGCGGTGCAACCGAAGCGCAAGCCTCACGCGGAAAACAACCACACAAGAATCACATGCCAATGACAGACTTGGCTCGGTGCTACCAAATGACAGAAGGAGACCTGGCGTCCGTATTCCTACTATATTTATATCGCACACTATGTCATACGCATTTGCAAGCAGATGGTGTAGCGACAAATAAGATACACTATGTCATTCAAGCAGTCCAATCCTAGGCCAGTAAGCCCAGGTACATAGGAGTTGATCTCTAAATCCGAGTACGTAGATGACAACCAATGACAACAGCGTCCAAGAGATTGGCAATGATCTGCGACTCCGTCTGAGCTGTGGTTGTCCCTGCGGTGTGGTTTACCCGGAGTGACGGCCCGAAGTCTGATCTTATATTATTTGATTTGGCAATGCGCACATCTCGCGTCTCGCGTCCTTACCACCACCATCCCAAACCCACTCGTCTCATCCCGACCTAACAATGCCCGCTATTCGAACGAAATCTCGTGAAAAGCGCGCCTACGTTGAGAATTTCCACCTACGTTTCACGACCAAGGCGCCAGACCGCGCCAAAACGCCCTCAGACGTCTCAAGCGTTCGATCTAGCTTGTTGGGTGAAGACGATGATGAGCAGCCGGGGACCGTCAAGGAAGGCCAAGAGGAATACCTCAAACAGGTTACGCTATCGATCGGTCGTATCAATGTCAAGTCGCTGAAGTCTCATGGTGCGATCAAGGAATACATGTAAGTCGGCCCGTGTTACCCTGCCTTGATACATTCGTAACATTGACTATGTTTTGCAGGGGCTTTCCGTCCATCACGAGCACCTCCGTTTCTTGGGTCGTAGACAACCCGCCCGAGGCATTTCCTCGCACTATTGTGCCAGGATCCGTCATCGTCACTCGTGGGAAACGCCGTAAAGACCTCTGGTGGGGTGTGGTCCGCGCGATTAGGAAGAACGGCGACATCATGATCGTCATCATGCTCTATCTGGAGTCCCTGGGGTGGATCAAATCCGCCATAAAGAAGGGTATCGTCCATGAACCTAAACGGTACGTGATCCTTGCTTGAACCAATCATGTGCACTTGGACTAAAAGTCGGCTCAGCCTCCTGAAAACAATTAAAGACCTACCCGCAAACACCCGCAAGGACGACATGCTCTTCGTGACCGACGAGGAAACCAAAATTCCGGCCAAGAACATCGTTGGTAAGTACATCCTCCACTTCGTTCCCGTACTTGAATTCCATCTGACTTTTCGGAAGCTGCATGTACAGAGCAGGAATTCAGGTCGAGGTGGAAGTTCTCCAACACTTACTCCCTCCAGATCAAGCGTACGAAGGATGAGAAGCGCGATTACAAATTCCACCGAGTCTGATCTGGACTCAAACTGAGGCCTTGGTGATCAGGCATGCTTGCAGGTTAAGTATGAATGGTATTGGTTTCCTTTGTACATGCACAACCCGTCTCTTGTCTTTCACTATGTGATATTTGCATTTGTATGAACATGCCTAATGTATATAAGACTCTTGATGTATTAAGGACTGTGAAGGTTTGAAAGACCGGTGGTGAGAGACAGATGAAAGCCAAACAAGACGTAACATGGAGTACTGAAAAATAAGGTGAAACCCATTCAGCTGGAATACAGGCGATACAGTAGAGATGTCAACGGCTCTGGGAATGTGAACATACACATAAGGCCTGACTATATCGTGATACGTGCCCGTTCCTTCGTGAGGTCTTGGCTTCCTCGATATGCTCGCTCCTGGAACACATTGATTTGATTATTATAACGCGTCTCGATACTGTCTTCCCAGATCCTTCGAGATCATCTGGTGTTTACAGTGATAGACACTGGCGGCTTCTTCTCAAGATGCTTCCGGGCTCTATCAACAAAGTCATATATCACGAAGAGCACCATCCAATCAGCTCTTGTCATACGGAAAGATTAGACTAGGCTATATCTGTATCACGAAACAGGGTGGATACTTCCAGTCAGTGAATCATTGAAAAATGGGCCCATTCTTATCAAAGTCAAAAGTGCCTGCGAAACTCAGAAACCAAACACAACTTTTCATGGAAATCATCATGTATCTGCACCACGATTTTTGCTGTCTCAATGTGCTGTGGAGGAAAAAGTATTTCAAAATGCTGAAATCCTGTCACCTTGTTCAGTTAGATCAAACACTGTATGTAAAACGGATGTAGCCAATAGAACTTTCATCACCATTCTCCTGATCTAGCTTGCTCTATATCTAGCACAGAGCATACAGGGGACTGTCAAATTTACTCAGTGGTATCTCAGTTGCCACAGTATGAAGTGCAGTCAGAGAAGGGGAACTAAATGCTATCTATGAATTGAACCATGGGGAAGATCATTGTAAGGTAGCATATGAACAGCAACATGTAATTCAGGTTTCACAGGGCTAGTAGAGTTCACCCTCACTATCAGAGTCTAAACAAGGAGATTTGTGGGAAATGCCACAACTGCATGTTGCCTAAGCACGCACAGCATATTAGAGCAGGGTTTTATAAGTCACTTATTGTTACTCACAGTTGACTAAGCCCGCAGATCGCTAAACCAGCCAAGAGACTGTCCCTTCCACAACTCTGCTTCCAATGGGTGCTTTCTCCCTACCGCAGTAACCAACTCTGGTGCCACTCCCATCCCTCTCCAATCTGAGCAGAATGCAACAAGATCAGTCAAGCAACACGACCTAGCGTGGCGACTGGTGCATCTGTACTTGAGCTTTTGTGGGCATGGCAACTCCTGGAGAATGATATTGATGTTCTTCTCCCCATGACAGATCTCCAGGGTGTATAAAGCGCGGATTGCACGAAGAAATGTCCAACTCTTGCGTCCGGGCTCGTCCAGGTTCCAAAGCACTATCCTTCGGATAGAAAGATGTTCAATGGTGCAGCCATAGGCATCGAGAGGTATTTCCATCTTAGCACTGTAGGCAATTGTGATGCCACCAGGAAAGACCAGGACATTGGAGCTGTCCCCGCTGTATCGGTCGGTATATGCCTGACGAAAGGATTCATCCAACCGAAAATCGGCGTGGGAGTTATCCCTATCGAAGAAGGTGATGAACATATGTTCTTGGGAGTGGTCGATGTGCGCGCTAGTGCAGCGAGATAGACGACTGTGGACAAAGTCGGGAAGTGGCGCCTCCCCAACACGACATGCCGTGGTGATGGTCCAGAATCGCAGAGTATTGATGTACGCCATGAGGAGCTGGACGGAAGCTGGGTCCTCGCAGGCTATCTTGATCTCTGCGTCCAGATTGACCGGTTCCAAAGTCAAATTATCATCGTCGAAGGCGATACGCTCAATTGTGAGCATTGCCAAGTTTGGACATGCACGCAAAACTTTAAGCAATTGCGACAGGTCGGCGCGAAGATCGCTGAGCGGCTGTCGCACATAGTAGCCTCGCAACTTGTTCTCACAGGAAAGCTCCTCTATCTTGAGCGCAGAAAGAGTTAAGCAGCGTAGTGTTGAAGAATGCATGTCTGGTATACTGACTCCAGTGTCAGAGTACCACGAGAAGACAAAGGTATCGAGGTTGGTAAATGGCGAGTGTTGTCCCAATGACAGAAGCGCTGTCAAACGGTCGGGGGCTAGAGGGCCGTTGCTGATGTAGTCGTCGAACATGAGGGCTTCTGTGCGCAAACCCATGGTGAAGAGGATTTTGGATGTACGTGGCAGTAAGTTTGGGCCCTCTTGACTAAAGAGCCAGTATAGATCGTCAGACGCATTGTGTCCGATGTATGCTGCCAGTAAGGAATCTATGTCCAAGACAATGGGGTGATCTCCGGCACGTTGCAGCATCGTGGTGATGGCATCACGACCCCGAAGAGAAAGCACAAAGTTTGCGTGTAACCTCTTCTCCCGAAGGACAATATCTCGCATACGTCGAGAGACATGAGACAAGCTGAGGTATCCCAGGGTCGTGAACCTACGCTCGTGGCCTCTGTGTTTGACTACACGAGTTCCGGGCGGATAGATCTCTGCAAGCGCCTGTGTGATCTCGCTCCAAACTTCATTTGGAGCATGTGGAATATGTATCTTCAAAGTATATCAATCCCAATAGCACCAATTGCATCGAGAAAAAATTCACACACCAGGCTCATGCCGTGCTATGACTATCAGAAGAAGTTGACCAAGGTTGTGGTGGTGGTTGGTGGTCAAGATAGCTCACAAATCCTTCTGACGAAAGAAGTTCACAATGAGTACATAATGGGCGCCACAGTCTAGGCTCAAGTTTAATGTCAGGGATGACTCGTTTCTGCCGACTATCGGCCCACTTCAACCAGTAAAGGACATACGCGCATGCAAGCCAAGCCATCTCCACGTCCGCAGGCTGGTCAACCACAACAGCAACAGCCTCAGCAACAGCATCGTCCGCATCCGCGTCCGCCTCCGGTGCAGCAACAGTACTACGCTCCCCCGCCTGGGCCTCCTCCCATGAACAACTTCGCGCCTCGCTTCACTCCCCGTCCATATGTGTCTAACCAAAGGCCCCTGTACACGCCTCTCAACAGTCGTGGAGACTATCGCACTCCCACAGGCCGTGTATACGGAGGTTCGGGACAACCTATGACCGTTGGACGCGTGGATATGTCCCAGATTGAGTGCTACAACTGTCACAAGATGGGACATTACGCTCGAGACTGTCGATCGGCCGGACCGAGCAATGGACAACGCCAACGTCCTGCTCAACAGGTCCGCAACACGCAGGTTCCCACCACTGCTGAACTGGTGGATATGCTCCCTCCCGGAGAGTTAGATATTATGGCACGTGCCTTGCAGAGCGCGCACTCCCAGCATGAGTCTGGTCGAGCAAACGGCTCTGTCAAGGGCAAGGCACCGCAGAAGGGTTTTCGCCGCGGCCGGAGATAGACACGGTGTCTTCGGTCAACAAAGTTTCATTAGACTCATCGGACTCTG